GGTTCTCATGAAAAAGATTTCCAAACGTAGGACGAGCCAACGCTCAGCAAGTAATATGTATTTATCTCAAATTCATGACCTATTTTTCTTATCTTTCTTAAATATGTCGCATGAAACAGTAAAAGATCATAATAAACATTTATGCATGAATTTATAAAACATTTTCAATAAACATTTCTTAAGACATTTCCTTTTTCAATATCCTTCTTTTCTTTCTTTTCCATGAATTTTCCTTTTCCTTAAATCATTTCATTAAATGCATAACTTTCATAATCATAATATGATAAACACCCGTCCCGGAAGTACCAGAGATTTGTACTGATCAGGTACATAGTCTTTTGGACATTTCTTTTACCATTTGGCTCCGAAGAACCCCATTACCATTTGGTTTTTGCAAGCTCCTTCACCATTTGGCTTTGTATAACCCCATAATCATTTTTGGCACTTCCGGATCAACATGAATATGCAATCATAATAGATCTAATAGGTCTTAAGTTATTCAGAATTTCATATGTGTTCGTTTAATTCGTTTCATGCATAATTGTTCTCATGTCTATCTAAAAATTTCAGTTATGAGACAATAAGCAAATATATCATTTTCCTTGCATAATAACATAAAGAAAACTCAAACATGTGATAGTTGCATGAAATAGAATATTTATAAACTAAACATGTTTTATTTAACATGAAAGGAAATTTAGAGAATTTAGAGACATGAATTTAATTTAAATACAAGTACCTACCTTTCTTAAGCGTGGTACTTCCACAAAGTGTCACTTCGACACAGATTTCATCTTAACGATTACAACCTAAAATAATTACAAAAGAGACGTGTCACAATTCAATTCCTAAAAGTTTGATCTTATTCCTAAGTCTAAACCCATCGTTTTCCCCTTAACTATTCCTTATGACACTTAATGAATTTTAATTAAATTAATCTTAATTTTCGGATTTAATTAAATCTTAATTTTTGAAAAATCATAAATCATATATTTTATCAATTTATTGCTCCAAAATTATTCCCAAACATATATTTATAATTATATTATTAATTTTCGGATTAAATTAATTAGGGAAATTAAGAAAAAGAAATTTTCGCTAAAAACTTAAATTTTTTCTTTGAAAACATTTCCAAAATCCTTAGGAATCATTTTTGTAAAGGTGTCTTACGAAATTAAATTTAAGGTTAAAAACCCTAATTTTTAAATCTCCAAAATTTTCATTTTCATCGTTAAATCATTTCTCTAATCTTTTCTTAAAGTTTTCGTAAAGAAATTTTGAAAGAAAACGAGATTTTAGAAAAACCCTAAAAAGTTCTTTTCCAAATAACTAGAGATTGAGAGGGTTTCATTTCACAACAATCGTACCTTAAGATTCCCCTCGTCGTACTCTTCGATTTGCACTAAAATCTTCGCTGAAAATTGTCGTCGGAGCCACCCTCGCCGAGCCCGCGCTATCCGTACCGTCCGCCACTCTCAGTTTCCGCTCGTTCTCTCAGCCGAACAAAGGAAATAGGGAAAGAGGGGTTCGGTTTTGCCTATTTAGAGAAATTGGGTTTTGTCAAATGACCTTTTTGCCCTTAAGTAAATTTGACTTAAGAAACAATTAAGGGTATAATCGGTATTTCTAAGTTTCCATAATTTTTATTTCTCAAAATACTCAAAATTAACTATAAGTGCTATATATCAAAATGATCAGAATTTTTCATAGGATTTTATAAAATTATTTCCGTCAAATTCCGTTAACTTTGAATTTTTTCACTTAAATTTTGTCTTGATGCATCGAAATGCGTGCGATGATCTACGATCATCGTTTTCGAGTTTTACATTTGATTCTCAATATGTGATTTGTGTGTTTATTATAGCTTTTCTTTGGAGTTTCTAGCGGCACCTAGGATTTGTGGAGAGTCAATCTACCTCTTAAATAATAGAACAACTTGTATCATGATTTTTTGTGCTAATATCAATAAAATTAGCCCCTAATATTTTTCTTTCTTGCAGATTTCTAGTGCATTTTCTCTTTGTAATTATTAATTTTGTTGTGTGAAGATTAAATTTCTATCAATCTCCTAAGCATTTCCACACCTTTAATAGAATATCATCATGTACAACAACTTTTCTACATTAATTTTCTTTAAAACCACTAAAACTTGGGTTTTACTAATACGCCAATAAAAATAAAAACCTCTATTTAAGTCAATCGTATTTTCACAATCTTCATTGAAAAGTATACCAAAATATCTCATCCACCTTTGTTGAATATCATCTTCTAATAAAAGCACTTTTTGATCTTCATTCTTAATACATTTTACTTGACCTAAGTCCTTACTTCTCCTATCGTTTTTCTTGGCTAACATATACATATATTTTTCTCCCTCCATACTATTTAATCTATAATATAAATCATTAAAAGTCAAATTCTTTGCATCACATGTTGCTTTCTTAGACTCCTTAATGGCCTCTTAATATTTTTCCCAACTTTCTGAGCTTTTATACCTAAACCAATATTTTATAATAAAATTTCTTATTTTTTATCTTTTTTAGCACATTTTGATACAGAAAACCCTCTACCAAAAGGAAAAAACAATCAACAGAATATAGAAGTGGAAGAAGTCATATGAACTTCTCCAACCCAAAATACCATTGAGTACCTTATAGTTCCCAAACCCAAAAATATTATTGAGACTCTGATTTCTCAAAATACATACCCAATACTTGATCCAACAACATTCCATTGAACTTGCACCTTTCAAAGGTTGTAAATAATCCTACCTGAACTCAGGAAAGTTACATACTTTTCTCCTATGTTATATTATGAAGAATTAGCCACTGCACTAAGAAAAGAAGCTTGTTCTTATGCTGAGCATTTTGTAGTAAATGTGAGAAATGACCATCTGTTCTCAATGAAGACTCTAATTTTAAACTTAGTAGAAATAGAAACTGGTTTGCCTTGAAGCAAACCTGTTGACACTTCAATTGATCTTAACACAAAATTACATGAACTTAATGCCAGTAATCCGCTAGGTAAGGAAACATATCAAAGACTGACTGTGAAACATCTATTATCTCATAACACATGACATCTTCATGGTTGCTAGCATGATAAGTCAGTTTATGCAAGCAACCTACTAATAACACATAGTGTTGTCACAAGGATACTCAGGTACTTACCTAGGATGGGGGGCTCTTCTTTTAAAAGGGGAATCTCAAATGTTAAAGTCCATAGAGATGTTAAAGGTAATTTTTACCATTAACAAGGGATTTACATTAGAGTAATGATGTGTTAATCTAGTAACTTGAAAAAGTTAAAAAATAAGTGTCGTGGCAATAAGTAGTACAGGAGGTGCACTCATATCCTTGCGAAGTGAGATTAGTAAATTAATATGGCTTAAGCTATTCCCTGAACTTCAAGTAACTATCAAGGCTCCTACAATATTATATTGTGACAATAAATTGCTATCAACATAGCACACAACTCTATCTATTGTGATAGAAATAAACATATGGAGAAAGATCGACAATACGCTAAAAAAAGATCAAAATAAAGATATATGTGTTTTATGTATTTCATTCTCCAATCAAACTATTGACATCCTAACCAAAGAATTGACAAAAAACCTATTTTAAAAAATTGATTAACCAATTTGGATTGTATGATGTTTATTAACTAGTTTGAGGGGGAGTGTTGAATGTCTGATGTAGCCTAATTAAAAAGGGAAAAGATAGAAGCTATTTACCTTGAACCATACTTAAAATTTTCTCTACATAGGCAATTTAGCATATAAAAGGCAAGTTGGGTAGGCATATCCAACCCCTAGTTTGGAGCAAAAGGACATCAGGTGGATTGTCCTGCATGGAAAATCCAATCGGTGGTGCTTTCCTGAATGGCAATTCCAGCTATTTTCTCCACATGATAAGCTGTGATTTAGGCTGGAATGGAAAGCAACTGGCTGGGGCTGATTGCTAATCCCTAGGCATGCTATCAATTGAATTTAGTAACTTTTAAAATTAAATCCCTCTTAAAAGTCAAATTTTCATTCTTTCTCGGATGTGTTAAACTACATTCCACATTAGGTAACAGCAGCACCCCATTTTGATAACTCCAAAATGTCCCTAATATCCCCCAACTTTCATTCTATTTGCATGGGTTTAATATCCTCCATGCACACAACCCTTTTCATGCCAACTCTTCTTGAATCATAAAAAGAAAGCGAGGTTTATCATCATAATCAAGAGAGTTTTTTGGCGTTTCAATGAGATATAATTACCTACAAAGGTTTGCTCCTATAAGAAACCTTGATCCTCAAAATTAAAATAAATCATATTAAATTCTCACATCATTCATTAAATTCTCTAGCGCATATTCAACTTGCCTATCAAAGATTTTCATGTGAGGTTTGTCATCTATCCTTTGGAAGAGTGCATTCCTTCCTTGAGGAACTTCTGAAGCCCACAAAATAATCTTGTTTTGGGAATTTCATGTGCTTATGTGATGCTATTTCAGTCATTATTATGTTGCCAAGGTTTTTCGCTTCCATCTTGTGTTTTATGTTGACTGATGTTGATGTTATTTAAATCGATGTACTATTTGTTCCTTCAAGTAGATGGAAGAAAATGAAATTTCAAATTCTAGATCACATTCGACTAAAAGAAATTCAGAAGATGAAACTGGCAACATTACAAATAGGAAGTGTCATTTCCCAAATAGCTGCAGTCACAAGAGTTGTCTGTATTACAGCTAGAACACCAAATGTGCAATGGACAATGGTTAAGTCTTAAAAATAGACCAAAGAAGCCAAGCACGTTCATATTCCCAAAATTGACAAATCAAGCTATTAAAAGATGCAAATTATACAGATGGCTCATCTTTTGCTTGTTCTAAAAAATTTTAAATAGAGACACCAGGAAATTTAACAACTTAAGTAAACTAGATATAATAAGTGATTGTACAGCTTCATGGATCATAAAATTTAATACAGTAGTCAGTTATTTGACTTTTACCTCAACATCGCCAATGCTGGCAGCTTGATGAACAGCAGATTCATCATCGTATTCTGCTTCCTCTTCTCCTTGCTCAGGTCCTGACGGCTCAGATGAGGCTGCAGGCTCTCCTGAAGATACAATTCCCATAGCTTGGCCAAGCTTTTGCAGGACGTCTTGGTCGTTCCAATACCTAAATTAGAATACACCAAAAACAACTTTAAACAACATGGATATACTGAGAACGAAAACAGAACAAGAAATTATAGCCATGGCTGCCAGTCATAAGCCTGGAAGAAAAAGATTTGAAGATTATTGTTAAGCTGATAACCAATTAACAAATTAATGCCAGCATTTATGAAATAAAAACTAATTTTGGCGATTGCTAGTGATTGGGCATTCCCCATAAGTAATATGGGGAGACCTAACTCAATTGTAGAAGAAACGAAAAAGTAAAAATAAATCCAATTGATTAAAAATAGACAATGACCGATCCATGTATCACCAGCTATCAATGAGCTAAACTCTATCATAATGAAAAGTAATGAAGGATCGAACAAGTCTCAAACTAAGACTATAATTGTTGTATGACATATCCCAATTTTCGACATGAAAAATAGAGAATTAATGGATCATTGAAAAAATAAATATCAGATATTTGCAAGAAATAAAGAAAAATGGGAAATAAAAATACATTGCCCAATATTATAAAGCAATGACGTGTTCTACAGACTAACAACAAAATAGTAGGGATAGAAGTGGATAGTTTAAAGACATTTAGAGAGGGGAATAGAGTTGTGGTATAAGACACAAACAACTTATAAATAAATTAATATCTTATTTTAATCAATAAATAATACTTCACAAATACTTATTTACAAGGTTAAATAGCACTTTATTACCATGAAACATGGAGCCAAAATATCAAATATGCTCCTTGTCCATTTAGATAAAAATAAAAAACTTTTCCAGATTGTCGGATGATTTTAAGAGAGTTTAACCACCAGATATAGAATCATAGTACAGAATGTTGATCATAAGCACGAAAAACAATAATCAACATAATTAAAGGTGACAACTAAAAACACTTTCAAATTAGACTGGTAAGAGAGGCAAAGACAATTGAAAAGAACAAACCAAATGCAAAAATAAATGATATTAGGAATATTGTCCATGAAATTCTAATAGACACAAGAAATAATAGATCATACAAGAGTAAGAAAGCTTGCCAATGGAAAGAGAAGTAGAAAAAAAAATGAATGAACACAGCACACTTTTAAGAGTGCAAAAAAAACTCTATTAAGATATAATTATTATAAAGTTAAAGCCTTTGTCCTAATCATTACCATAATCCTTATAAGAAAACTATTTCATAGGTTTGTTTCTCCTTTTAGTGCCCACATTTTTAGATGATTCAAAAAAACAATAACATGTATAAAGCAAGAAGAAAAAATGTCTTGCAAAATAGCCATAACAAAGAAAGAGGGTATAGAAATTACAAAAAAAATAATAATAATAAAAAAGGTATAGAAATTATTTTTAGGTTACATGTACAAAACTGGTAAAATTACAATCTTACCATGGACGAAGACACCAAACATCAAGTACATGGTATTTTTAGAAACTGCTAAATAATAGCTTAGGAAAATTTTTGGAAGAAAAAAATGAACAAGATCAGTAAGTATATTGTTGATAGAAAGAAAATGAATAAATTTACAGTTTAGATTTCGATAAACATTAATTTAGATTGGATAGTCATGAAAGATACAAAAATAGTTTACTAAATACTTATTTTGAAAAATAAATAATAAAACTTAATAACTTTCAAAGGTCATAAATATACCTTTCTATTTATAATACACAAAATATTCAAAACAATGTAAGCATAAACTTCCTTTAAATGTTCATTTATTTTCATTAAATTATACTTTTAATTTTGAGCATTTTAACATATAGAAGTATATTTAAAGATTAATCCAATTGTATATGTATAACTATTTAATGAATAGTTGTTTAACATTTCAATAAAAGTTAAATTAAAACTAAGTTAATTAACTACTAATATATAACTAATAGCAACTACTTAACAGTCATTTCTTTATTTTATTAATATTCATGTAGTTACCCACTTACATAGGCATGCAAGGGCTAGATAGCAAAGGACTATAATCAGCGGCTGAGATTTGCATTGGGAAACATTAGGTGGATTTAGTGTTATTATTATATTAGTTGGCCTAAAGCACTCAAATACAGCATTTCCTTTTCATTTTCCCCTCCCATCCCCGATGCTTTCTGGTTCAAAGCAGGCCATGGGTTTTAGGCGAGCGAGGAGCTGGAAGAGGCGGGACTGCTGTGGAAGATTGCTGCAGCTATTGCTGTTGATTTCTTACGTAATAAGACATAGGAAATTGTTTAGGAATTCAAAAATCTGAAATCAGTAGTTATATTCAAAAATTTGTTGTATGGCAAGTAATACAAAAATCAGTTGTATGGCAAATTAATATTCATAAATACAATTTCAGATTTCTGAAATTGTATGTAGAAATCTGCATTTAAGCAATCTGTATAGCTAAAAGTTGTATTGCTGAAATTAGTTTTCTGATTCATTAGGAAAAGAGAGGAAAGAGAGGAGGTTGGATTGAACGAAAAAGAGTGTAATTGAGGTGGTATACAAAATAAAAAGGAGCCAGGGTACTTTAGGAGAACAAATACACACTTATGTTCTAGAAAATGAGCTGAATACTCAATCGATGTATGAGAAATAGTAAAATTTTATATAATTGCAACTTCATATTTATTATGTTATGATAGTATTTATTTCAGTTTATTCCAATCTTGTTGATTCATTAATTATTAAAGATTACATTAGCACACTGTATGATTGTGAAAATGATGATGGAACAGTGAAATAAATCATATATGGGGGATAGACTCACATAAATAAAGGCGAAAGTGATGCGGACATCCAACGATGAACGATATTCACAGGAAGAGTTGAAGATTGATGGCCGAGATCACTCCGTTTCATTTTAGTTTATTAATTGTATTTTGATTTAATTTTGCAATTTTCCCTTTTTGTCCTTTTATTTAAGAGTCTTGTCTTATGTAAGCCCAAGGGGCAAATGTGTCTTTTAGTTTCTTTTGAGGCCTATATATAGATGTCCATTCTCTTGTATTAGGGATGATGGAATTATAATAAAATATGTTTTGCACTTGTGTTCTTTTGGGAGGACGTTAGTGAGATTCCTATGGGAAGGAATCAGAGTTTTCACCAGCCACAGAATAGGTCCGGGCTCGTGGCTTGAAATCCCTTGGAGAAGGGCAACGTATCACCCGTCAGTCTTCGGAAGAGTCCAAGGCTCGCTGTTTTATCTTTTATCTTTTGTTTCTTTATTTTTGTTCCTTCTTGTTGTTTCTAGTCGTCATCTTCATCCTCTCCCTACTTCCACCAAACCGACATTAGCTCCACCACCACTCACGGCCAAGCCACAAGCCGCCGGTCCTCCCCTTGGTTTCCTCCCATCTCCACGTGCCATCAAGTCTTTCATAAATTAGTTTTCATATTTTAGGTAACCATCTTAATGATCAAATTCAAATTTATTTGAATTTGAATAGTTGTCTAATTTATAATTTTTTTTTTAGAAAACTTACTCATTCATAGCCTATTTAAATTTTGAATTAAATTGGAATGAAATCTTTCATTCCAAATTTAATTTATTAATTTAGGAAAGCTTTGAATGCCTCATTCTCCCTCCTCTATTCCCTTCCTTTTCTTGCAAAATTAATTTGGGAAATATTTCCTTTCAATTCCCCCAATCCAAATTTGTAATTTGAATTGTTTCCTTAAATAGGATTCTATTTTAGGAAACTCCTCCAATCTAATTTAAATTAGCAAATAAATTAGATTGGAATTAATTTCCTTTCCTTAAGTTGGGATTCCCAAAAAGCCAAGTAACTAAAGCTTTCCTCAATTCCCCCTCTCCCTCTTTGAAACCGCCGGCCCCCGTCCTACCCGCCGCCCTTTCCCCCCTCTTGCTCTTGATTGAACCCTACTTTCCTTTTTCATACACACTCATTTGGGAAGCTTTGATATTACTTATTCAATTCAATTTTGAATTTTGAATAAATTCTTAAAATAGATTGATCTATTTTAGGAAAGTATTTAAATCAAACCCCAATTAATGACCTCCACTTATGGCCGGCCCCTCCCCTTTCCATATTCCCTCTCCAATTAATTCCCCTCCATTAATTAATTCTCTAATTGGATATCCCATGATGGGAATTAATTAATTCAAATTCCAAATCTCCCCCACCCCCATACCCGTTCAACATCATAAAGACTTGACAAAGTAAGCCTACACTCTCGAAATTCTATGTCACAATCTGACCCGGAGGCTCGAATTAACGAGATAGAAACAGACGATCAGATGGTAGATTAGATTTTCAATTACTAAATCTATCTCAAATACACTGAAAGAACCACTAATTTCAAACATATAAATTGATATAAAAATGACTTAAATACCTTTCTTCTGGTGTGACACGCCTACGGTATACATTTTCACCTCTTCTATTTATTTTAATTATATTAAATTATACATAAAACTTTAGAGCAACTAAAAGTAAGCTACAACTCAGTGAGTAAAATATGTTTCTAAATTACAGTAACTCAAGACAATTGAAATAATATGCATTATCCCTTTTCCATTTCATATCATAAAATAATTACATTTAATCATATCATTCATCAAGACTTTCAATGTTATATATATATATATATATATAAGAGAAAATAAAATCATTACTGTAATTAAAAGACATGAATACTCACCTTGAAATTAGATGTCTTGACAATTTGTTTTAGTCACCACTCTGACGCCACCTTAACACTTATATAATATTCTTTGTAAATATTAAAATTATTACATAAAATATTATTATTCTAATAATTAAACTCTTAATTATAAATTGCTTCCTCTCTCTTCCATTCTATTTTTATTTAATTAATATTTTCTATATTATTAATATGTATCATTCAATTCCTTATTTGTATAATTAATTATCTTAATTAAGATTTTCAATTAAAATTCATCTCTTATTTGAATCTTATAATCTCTCTCATTTAAATACCGAATTATCTCATTTATTATTTTCTAATTTGAAATTTCTCCTCTTTAATTATTACTTTAAGTA